CGGTTCGCCTCGCTTTTTTTTTTTGCCTTAAGTGTTCGGGGCGAACATGTTCGATGTTTGTCCGGCCCTCCTGCCCGAGTCGTGTCGAACACGAATGAGCACATTTGTGTTTGTCGATGAATTTGGCCGCGACCAATGTTAGGTCGCGACCAATTTGAGTTTGAGCTCATTTTACAAGCTCAAACTCACAGCTTCCAAGTCGCCCGCATCTGGTCTCCCCTACGCGCCTCATCCTTAGCGTTTAAAGGGTTTCAATGTACAATCTTAGGGTTAGATCATGGACGATGAGTACTTTTTGTGCGGATTCGCCATGACTTTTAGGAAGTTTGGCCGTTTTCCCTAGCGCCTTAGTTTTTGACCACCCTTTCCTCAAGGCGGCAGATCCGACATTAGACGTAGTTTGTTAGGGTTCGTTTTACAAGACGTTGGAAGCTATTCGTAGTTCTGTTGGCGGCACTCGAACTCGGTTACAACCCTTACCTCGAGTTTAGGGTTTGGAGTAGATCTATGGCCTCCTCCGGTCACCACCACGACCCATGCAAGCGCGAGTAGGGGACGGTCCCGCTGGTCCTAGTGCTTGTTTCGTCGAGGGGGTTTTGTCCGTACCCACCCCGACATCCCCTTTTGGGAGGGGGAGTGGGAGGGGGAGGGGGAGGAGGAGCAGCATGTGGAGGCAGATGGCCAGGGGCGGGGATGATGTGGTGGGAGTAGATAATGTTGTATTCGGATTTGGCATATTGCATGGACACGTAAACATCCATGGCGTACTACAATCGACTGCTGGAGTTGGCAGAAGACATGGGCTGCCTGGAAGAACGGACTCTAGTATCGAAGTTTGTGGGAGGATTGGAGGACGATCTAATGCAAGATATGCGGGCCGACTGTACGCGATGGGGATGAAGACGAAATTGCGGCAGGTGTGCCAGGTGGCGAAAGAGGTAGAGGAGGGAAGAAGGTTCTTCGATGGGCTGCGCGGAGCAAGCTCAGGAAAATCAGGCGAACGCAGGAGGCCGGCGTGGGCTGCAGTGGAAGGAAAGCGGATGGAAGAAGAACGGAGAGGTAAGCCATTTGAAGACAAGCGGCGGTGTCATAAGTGCGGAGAACTCGGGCATTTGCGGAGGGACTGCGCTGTTGACATCATATGCGATATCTGCAGGGAGAAAGGGCATTTCAGTCGGATACGGAATGTCAACGGGAGTTGTGTTTGGCCCCGTCTTCGCTTGAGCGGAGCCGACCTCGACGACCGCGGGGCCGCGGGAGATCGTGGGAGGCCTCGAGGCCGTGGGGCCGCGGGAGGCCGCGGGAGGCCGCGGGAGGTCGCAGGGCCGCGGGAGGCCGAGGGAGGCTGCGGGAGACCGCGGGGCCGCAGGAGGCCGCGGGAGGCCGCGAGAGATCGCAGGGCCACGGGAGGGCGTGGGGCAACAACGGGATCGCGGTGACCGCGGTGGCCGCGGATGGACGACCAGGGGCCACGGGGGCCGCGGGATACCCGGTCGACCAGGATACCCGAGCGACATGTGCGAAAGTCACTGGGGGTGATTTCTGCGATGACGACCTCCGGGGTGGTATCTCGAGGTCGACGTGGCTTGTGGGCGCCGTCTCGGGTGGAGTGTCTGCGCTGGGCAAATGACGAGGCGTTGGGCGCCAACCAGCTGCACGCACCTGCGAAGCTGGTGCACCATTGTTAGGCGGATGCAACGCTGTGCAGCCGACTTGTTGCAGCGTTGGCACACCGCGGACTTGCAACGTTGGCAAGCCGCGAATCTGCTCTGCTGGAGCGCGGTCGACCAAGTCGTGCTGGCACGCGGTCGACCGTGCTGCGCTGGCAGTCGACCAGCAGCCTTGCTGGGTCTGATGTAGTCTGTGTTGCCAATGTTGTTGCTATCATTGTTGTTGTGAAGTTTTGCTTAAGAAACTCTTGCCAAATTTCCCTGTGAACCAGCAAGCAGTGCAAACACAAGTTAACGTCTAAGGAATGAAAGCAGAGATCACACGAGCATCCGTGCCTAGCCCGTAGTCTAGCTCTTGTTGTTAAAGTTATCTCCGCACGGAAATGAGGTGCTACAGCAAGAAGGAGAAGGCGGGAGAAAAATCTGCTAGAGAGCAACAGTTGGAGCGGGAGGTGGCAAAGCTGAAAACGCAGATGGGTAATGTGGAGATTAGCGAAGATCCGGAGAAAGCATTACTAGCTTGGGAAGGCGAGGAAGAGGAAGGCTATGGGGAGAAAGAAACTGAGTACGGGGCCATGGCCATGTCACCCAGAGACCGAAAAAGTTTGGGGTTGAGGAGTGGAGGGAAGGACCGTAGAGCAGAGCAGAAGCAGCCAATGAGAAGAACTTCTAAGGCACCTGAAGGGACTGACAAGCCGAAGACAGCTCGGCGGCATCCTGAAGAGAGACTGGTCTGCCAGCCCACGGCTCTAGTAGTGGAACCAAAGTGTGTATCGGTACAAGGGATACTAGTATAAAATGTTGTGGTGGATACGAGCGCACAGAGTGTGCTGCTGGGAAGGAAGCTGACTGAGCAGTTAAAGGCGCAAGGAGGTTGGGAAACAGTGAGACGGGGAATACTAATTATGATTGCTGAGGGAGGGGCTCCTAAATGGATGCCATTCACGAAGGATCTGATTGAGATTACGCTGCAGCCGGGAGGAGAGGGAGAAACCACGATAAGAGTGCAATACGGACTGACAGAATCAGACGACTCCGACATTTTATTGGGAATGGAGTTGCTATACAAGATAGGGACTACGATTTGCAATTAGCAGGAGCAAGTGCTATATCGCTCAGAATTCTGGGAGGAGGGGAAGGAGCTAAGTGAGTTGCTGGTGCGTTTCATCAAGACTGAAAGAGAAAGCCTGGAGAACAGGAGGCATGGGGAAAGGAGGAAGTAAAAGCGTTGGGAAAATCATGGACATTCGGCCGGGGGCGAGTATAGACTAGCACAGCGTCACACTAGTGGAGCTGTTCGGAGGGCTGGGAGCTGGTTTAGTAGCAGCGCTAGACGCCGGCTTGAGGGTGAAGAAGTGGATTCATGTGGAGGTAGATCTCGAAGTTCGGAAGATGGCTTGGAAACACGCACAGGTGCTGCTGCAGCGGTATCCTGCCCAGCTGAAGAAAGATGTGATGAAGGAAGCCATGCAGAACAAGAAGTGGGATGTGAAGCAGGTTACTAAGGAAGACGTGACGAATTGGGGAAAAGTGGACCTGCTAGTAGCTGGCTGGGAGTGCCAGGGTACTTCGCGAGCAGGGAAAGGAAGGGGATTGCAGGATGAGCGTATGGGGCTAGTGACAACGCTACTAGAAATCATGCGATGGACGAGGGAGGCAGGAGGGGAGTACGCTTACATCCTAGAGCACGTGGACATGAGTGGTGACGTCAGGGAGTCGGTCTGAGCAGTACACCAGCTGGTGGAAGCAGGATTGGGAAAGGGGGTTAGGTGTGATGGGGCGCAGATGGGGGCATTAACACATCGGGTCCGGCGCTTCTGGCAAAATTTCATGCCTGAAGGGGAGCTGCGGGCTCGGTTGGCGAAGATAGAGAGAGATGGGACTAGAATTGTGGAGGACATCCTCGAATTAGGGAGGGTAGCTGCCCCAGTGGTCAAGCAGGATCACCCCCTACAATACCAATGCAACAGGGTGGGGGAACCGCGAAGAGCCTGGTCGTCGTTAGTGGCTTATGCGAAAGCACGAAGCTTTGTTGGCCCAGGGTTGGTGTATGATCACCGTAAAGGGAAGTGGGAAGAGCCAACCGCTTTAGAACGTGAACTGGCTATGGGGTGCTTTCCAGGAGCCACTACAGCAGACGGGGTGGGAGAAGAGGCTCGCCGAGCAGCCCTGGGCAGGGCTATTGATCAACATTCGCTAAGATGGTTGATAACTGAGATGTGGACAGGTCCAGGACAGCAGAAAGGGAAGCAGGACAAAAAGTGGGGTCAATGCTATAAACAAGCAGCATGCGCAGCAGTCGAGCAGGTGGCCACTGAGGGAAGCACTACAGAGGTACAGGCAGGGGCCAGGGACGTAGGAGTAAGCAGTGGATGAGAGATAGGAGCTGACATAAAGAAGGAAGCGGCGGAAGCATTCAGACAGGTATTGCAGCAGCATAGGGGTACGTTTGCATACAAATTACAGGGGCTGGGAAGATACAAAGGGAGAGAATTGGAGCTAAATTGACCACCGAGCTGCCCACCTATCAGCGCAGGAGGCGGATGAACGCAGAAGATGCGGCTATCTGCAAAGAGAAATGCGAGGAGCTGCCGCCAGCTGGGATAATGCGCCCGTCAGAGTCGAGTTACGCAGTAGCCGCGGTAGTAGCTGCCAGAAAAGACATCATAGGGAAAGTGTTAGCGAAGCGTATGTGCGGGGATTTGAAGGACCTGAACAAGATCACCAGCTCGGACCGATACCCCATGCCGACTGCAGATGATATCTTCGATAAACCTATGTTGCGCCTGACACCTTGGAAGGGCAGCGTCCAACGTCCGGACGTGAACGTCCGGACGCTGGACGTTCGGGGAATTTTTTTTCGGGCAGCCCGAAAAAACATTCTCCCCGCACGAAATTGACTCGCGATCTCATCGCGACCAGCACTGCGATGAGATTGCCAACTGGGGGCCACGTTTTTGACCTACAAAAACGCAACCCTCATTTATTCACCCCCACACATTTGTACCCATCCACATCTACTTCTCCCAACCAGGTCGACACCCAACTAAACTAGAGAACCAGATCTAGGTCGACATTACACAGATCTGTTTCTCTCGACATTGCCAATCATTCCTACTAGGCAACAATCACGCTACTAAGCCTACCTAGCTAAAACTAGGTTAAGACGATTGGCACATCATGTCAACTGCTAGTCCCGCCGGTCATTCTGTTAGTGCCTCCACACCTTCTGTCGGTGGTGTGGAGGGAGAAGGCCAGTACGACGAAATGCTTAAACATCCCGTGTACAAGCAGTTTTTATTTTACGTTAAGGACCCCACCAAAGGCAGAATGGCGAAATGCCGTTATTGCCCAAAAGAGTTCGTTTCCAGTAGCACGCGTTGCACCGCTCATCTTGCTGATTGGGAGGGGAAGAAGGGTCACGACATTGCTGTGTGCCCGGATGCGTCAAAAGAGGTAGTAGAGAGCATTCGCACATTGCAGGAGGGGAAATGTAAGAAGCAGTTGGAGAAAAACCGGGCGGAGATGGCGGCCATGGATGCGGTGAGTGGCAAAACCAGCAGCGGGATGGGTTCTAAGAGAGGGCGCATGTTAGATTTCTATGGGGCGGAGGGGTCAGTGGCTAGGCGGGAGGCGGATGATGCCATATGTCTCTATTTCGCAGCATTGGGTGTTCCCGAAAACCAAGTCGACAACCCTCTTTTCCGCAACATGATAAGGGCAGTTGCAGCAGCGGGTGGTAGCTATGTCCCTCCGAAGAGAAAGTACGTGGGCGGGGCTGGACTGCAGCGGACTCGTAAGAGGATTGAGGAGGGGTTGGATCCCGTGGTTAAGAAGTGGCCGGAGAAAGGTGTCACCATCGCTAGTGACATGATGAGTGACAGGAATGGGCGTGCGCAGGCGAATTTCCTTTGCGTCAACGAAGATGGAGCTGTGTTTATGGAGAGTGTTGACCGCGGGATGGAGCGAAAAACAGGCCGTTACATTGCTAGCCTCATCCGGCCAGTCATAACGAAGGTGGGGCCGGAAAATGTCGTTGCACTATGCATGGATGGAGCGAGCAACTACGCAGCCGCGACCCGTGAGATTGTGAAGGAATGGCCGCACATTGAGATTGTGCCGTGCGCAACGCATGTGCTTGACCTCTTTATGGAAGACATAGGGAAGATGGATTGGGCCAAAAAGTTGGTTGAACGAGCGGGGGAGCTGATCACATTCTTGCGCAACCATCATTGGACACGCGCATACCTGAGGGCGGGGGAGCTGCATGGCGAGAAGGTGCTGCAGGCATTGCGACCTGCGGGCACTCGCTTCGGGACACAATACCTTGCCGTGTCTCGACTTTGTGAGTTGCGCCCTCATCTGTGCAGCATGGTCTCCCATGATGTCTTCAAGGACTGGGCTGCAGCTGCAGGTGCTAAGGTGAAGGAGGCAGCAGACAAGTTTGAGAAGTACGTGCTGGATTCTGCGTGGTGGAAGACAGCAGAGTTCGTCAAGAAGCTGTTGTAGCTGCCATATGTCACCATGCGTAAGACAGACTCGACAAAGAAGGGGATGATGGCAAATATGTTTGACCTGATGCTACAGTTGACGGAGGAAATGAGTGCATTGCTGGAGGAGGATGAGGAGCAGCTGAGCGACGAGGATAAGGAGAAGATCAGCGATTTTCTGAAGGCTAGATGGGATGATAGCCTTGCATGTGCGCTCCATGTGGCTGGCCGGATTTTTAGTCCGGCCAACCAGAAGGAGGGAATCTTTCTTCGGGATAGGGAGTGTACCAAAGTCATGAAGGAATTCTTAGAGCGTGCGCATGATTTCTTGGTGAAGTACAAGAGGGGTGGAGCTGGTGGCTTCAAAGAGCTTCAGAAGGGGATGCTTGCCTACATTAACGGTGATGAGAGTTTCGGCACAAAGAGCGCGGTGGAGGCTCGGGAGGAGATTCGGGCTGGGAAGGGGGATCTGCTAAGCTGGTGGCAGTGGCATGGATGCGACTACCCCGAGCTAGCTGACATTGCGCGCCGTACCCTTGCGCAGCCCGTGTCGGCCTCCTCGTGCGAGTGGAATTGGGCTAAGTGGGAGGGAGTGCACACGGCTCGCCGGAACCGGCTAGGGTCGGAGAAATGCCGCAACTTGGTGTACGTGGCCCACAACTGGCTGGTGGTGTATAATGCACACAAGCGACCTGAGATGGAGGGGGCCGGGATAATTGAGGGTAACAAGCCAGACCCCCCGGTCCCGGAGGGATACATTCTGGAGGAGGAGGTGGATGAGGAGGAGGAGGAAGAAGACAAGCTGCTGGCTGATGAATATGTGGCAAAAACGCCTGACGCGTCAGGCGCAACATAGCGATAAACTAGATGGAGCAACGATCTTCTCCACCCTGGACTTACAACAAGGATTTAACCAAATTGCTATCAAGGAGGAGGATAAGCGGAAAACGGCCTTTCACTGAGTAGATGGACTGTACGAATACAACGTGATGCCATTTGGGGTGCGTAATGCGCCAGCTGTGTTTCAACGGGCTATGGATGAGGTGCTGAAAGGAATCCCAGCAGCAGCTTGTTACATCGACGATGTGCTCATTTTCAGTGGAAGTGACGAGCAGCACGTGCAGGACTTGAAGCAGACTCTAGAGGCGATAGCAGCCGCAGGACTTAAGTGTCACCCGGACAAGTGTAAGATAGCCCGCCGTACCGTGGCGTACCTGGGGTTTGAGGTGAGGGGAGGCCGACTGGCGTTACAGGAAGCTCAAGTCAAGGTGCTGGAAGATTTGGCTGCGCCGAATGACAAAACTGGGCTACGGCCACTTCTTGGCTTCCTCAACTACTACAGGAAGTTTGTGCCAAATTTCAGCCGCCGAGCACACGCCTTGAACCAGCTGCTCAGAGAAGGGAAGAGTTGGCAGTGGGGAGAGACGGAGGAAGCAGCCAGGCAAGATCTACTGGAAGCAGTGAAGATAGGTACCCTGCTGCAGATACCTCAAGCAGATGAGTCATGCGTCCTTCACACCGACTGGAGCAGTATGGGAATGGGGGCAGTGCTCTACCGGGAAATAGACGGGGAAGAGAGAGTCATAGCATTTGCTAGTCGCAGCTGCAGCCCTACTGAAGCTAACTACAGCTCATACGAAGGGGAGGGACTGACCGCCGTGTGGGGTATTACACACTTCAAAGTGTAACTGCAAGGTCGGCACTTTACGCTAGTGACCGACCACCAGTCCTTGCTATGGTTGATGAAAAACCAAGAACTGACGGGCAGGAACGCCAGGTGGGCAATCAAACTGTTGGGATTCGATTTCGATATCCGTCACCGACCGGGTAAGACACCGCAACACGCGGATGGGTTATCCAGGAACCCGCCTCCGATGCAGCCAGTTGCACGGGTCGCTTGATACACGCGGAGGGAAGGAGAGTAAACTCATTACATATGCCAGGAAGAACAAGGGTCAGGGGGTGTCACCTGCTGGAAGAGAGGGGACAGAAAAGTGAGAAGGGTGGAGAGAAAAGGGAGAGAAGGCTTCAATGAGAAGGGAGGTTCAGCCGGACTTGCATCACGACAACGCCTCTCTTCCCTTGAATTGATGTAACGCACGCCTCTCTTCTCTACACTACATTTAGTGCTTTGATGCTGCAGCATGTCCCCCCTGCCTTGCAGCCTTTCTAAGCAAGCTGACTGCAAGTCACAACTACAATCCACGTATTCTTTGCTTTCTTTTGTATCCTTCATTGTACCCCCTCATCTCGTGGCTCGCATTGTCACTTGCTTGCCATGCCATCACCTCACATGCTTCCTCACTCTCCCCCTCATCGCATGGGTATGTCTCGTTGCTTACGCTCGCGCACACCACACACACACACACAAACACACACACACGCACACACACACACACACACACACACACACACACACACACACACACACACATACGCACACACACATATGTACACTGTTCCTTGTTTGTAGTATGTACGTGCTTGCGTGCCGCACTAGCACCATCTAGGGATGAGCAAGGGGCGAACACGAACATGTTCGTGTTCGCCCCTACACGAACACATCTGTTTGCCGAACCGAACAGTGTTCGGTTCGGCGAACACTTAAAGCAAAAACAGGAAATCGCCATTCGCCTGTGAAAGCGTGTTCGAGCGAACCTCGAACACGTTCGTGTTCGTCGCGGGGCAAATTGCAGCAGCGGCCCGAACACGAACGTGTTCGGGCGAACCTCGAACACTGTTTCGCGAACACTTTAAGCAATAAAAACAAACCTGTTCGGTTCGCCTCGAACGCGGTGTTCGTTCTTTTGCTCATCCCTAGCACCATCTGCTACGCGTCAGGCAATGTTTGTGTCACTAGTTTTGAGTCGTCTCAAAATCTGGCAATGCTTGTGTCACTCGTGAGAATTCTTCCTAAGTGACTTGCTTGCACATGTCCCTTGTATGTGCGTGCTTGCACACGTCATTCCCCTTGTATGTGCGTGCTTGTGTGTGGCACGGGCACCATCAGCGACGCGTCGGGGAACAACATCTCAGGAAGCATCCCTGCCACCATCACTACCCTCTCACACCTCGAGTACCTGTGAGTTGCACACGCCCTCACCCCTCGTCTTCCATTTTCTTTTGTTTATGATGCTTTCTATTTGTTATCTTCTTTTACGTTGCTAGCCAAAATGATAACGATAATAATAATAATAATAATAGTAACAATAATAATAATAGTACTTGTAGTACTAATAATGATGATAGTAATAACAATAACAGCAATGATAATAATAATAACAATAATAATAATAATAATAGTAATATTCTTGGACGACCAGTAATATTCCAGTGGTGTAGCAGAAATGTGCTCTATTGGTCGTCCAAGAATTTCAGATTACCCAAACAGTATCCTTGACCCAACTGGGAGACGTCCTAATTATAGTACTGATAATAATAATAATAACAACGGCAATGGTAATGGTAGTGGTAGTGGTAATGGTAATGGTGGTAGTGGTAATGGTAATGGAAATGGTAATGGTAATGGTAATAATAATAGTAAAACGTACATGTGTGTGCACATTGCTAGCAGCTCCAATGTATCTCGCCCCTCGCTCTCTTGCTTGTCTGCGCCCCTTAGCTGCCCTGTTGCTCGTGGTGTTGCAGCAGTGGTGCAGATGGAGAGGGCTGAATGCGAACCCAAGAGCACTGGAAAAAAAAAGGGAGAGGGGCCAATTTTCTTCCACCTATTCCATCCCTCCTCCTCATCCCTGCCATCCCTCCTCCCCACCCCTGCCCTCCCCGTCCCACGCGCACATGCACGGCAGGATGCTGGGTATGAACAAGCACCTCTCAGGCTCCCTGCCCAGCACCCTGGCACGCCTCACCACCCTCAAAGACCTGTCAGCACCCCCCCCCCCCCTCCCCCCTTCCCTCCCCCGCTGCTCCTCCTCATCGTCCATACCTGTCCGATGCTCCTCCTCATCATCCACACCTGTCGCTCCTCTCTCACGCTCCTCCGCTTCGCCCCTCTGCTTCGATTCGACTCTTCACCCCTCTGCACCGCCTCTCACCACTCTGTCTTGCACTGCCTCCTATAGCACCTGTTGTCTGCCCTCTCATGCACTGCATCATTCCCCTCCTCACCCTCGTCCACCTCTCTCTCCTCCACCTCTGCTGCTGGGCCTCTGCTCTCTTGTTCCCCTCTCCTCTCCTACTCCTCTTCCTCCTTCCTCTCGTTCACAATCAACTCTCTGTGCCTCTCCCACCTCTCCCCCCTCATGCCCCAACCCATGCCACTGCCTATGCTGCTACAATGCCTTCTGACTCCCTGCTTTTCTTGCCATCCCTCATCTCCCTCCACTCCCCATGCCACATCTCCCTTCTCCCCTCCTCATCTCATCTTCACTCTCGTCAAATCATCATCTCCCCTCCCCTATCCTCCTCTCCCCCTTCCCCTCCCCACTTCACCCAGCACACTGGGAAACACGGCCATTTCGGGCGAGCTGCCTCGCTTCCTCACCGCCCTCACCCGACTCGCCAATCTGTGAGCCCCTAACCAACCTGTGAGCCCCTAACCAACCTGTGAGCCCCTAACCAACCTGTGAGCCCCTAACCAACCTGTGAGCCCCTAACCAACCTGTGCGCCCCTAACCAACCTGTGCGCCCCTCTCTCCGTGGCTCCTTGCACCTCTTTCCACCCCTCTACACCATTTCTGCATCTCGAAGTCCTTCCATCTCTAGTTCGCACCATCTCAACCGCCTTTCATCTCAACCGCCTTTCATCTCAACCGCCTTTCATCTCAACCGCCTTTCATCTCAACCGCCTTTCATCTCAACCGCCTTTCATCTCAACCGCCTTTCATCTCAACCGCCTTTCATCTCAACCGCCTTTCATCTCAACCGCCTTTCATCTCAACCGCCTTTCATCTCAACCGCCTTTCATCTCAACCGCTGCCTTTCATCTCAACTGCCTTTCATCTCAACCGCCTTTCATCTCAACCGCCTTTCATCTCAACCACTTGTCATCTCAACTGCTTGTCATCTCAACCGCCTTTCATCTCAACCGCTTGTCATCTCAACCGCTTGCCATTCCCTTTATTTCAACCTGACAAGGGCTGCTTCAACCTGACAAGGGCTGCTTCAACCTGCACCTTATCCTCTCGTTCTGTCATTGCCTTTCGTTTTCTTTTCCTTCCTCTCCCCCCTCCTTTCTGTGCCTTGCTTTCTTCATTTCCCAAACCTCGACACATACAGTGACGTGACCAACACGGAGCTACGAGGAACCGTCCCTCCCACTTATGGAGCCCTCAATATTGACTACTTGTGTGATTTCCTCCTCTTCTTTGTTCATTCCCGTGCTAGCCTCTCTTTCTCCTTCATCCCTTAGCAAAGTGCCTCATTCCAGCCCATTATCGCTTTATATGTTAGAGAATATGTAAATATAAACGTAGTCATACATTCATACATGCCCCTCACTTGAACAACACTTCACAGAAGTTTAGAAAAGTGCAAACAAGGTAGGCCACCGGGTAATATCACTTAGGGCATGTCACCTCGGGCTGGAAGGCCCAAATCCGAACATGCATAACGAATTCATTGTAGGAACAGTGTCCGAACAGAAATTTGAACACCCTGGTGAATGTGACAGCTCGTCACCAGAGGTGACGCCCTCGCTTTTCGAACACGCAGCCTGATCGAACATGCGACGTCACCTACAATAGGGCGACATCGCTAAGCGTCGCAAGAAAAACTTCCAGTCGCCTGCCATTCCAGTTTGACCCATTTTTCGCCCATCCAGTCACAATGTTTCCTCGTACTCCTCTACTGCTGCTCACCTAGTTGTTTCCCCGGCCAATATCATTGATACTCAAAGTATGCCAGAGAAAGTTTGCATCAGTACCCAACCTCGATTTCTCATCGCTGATTGGTTCTCGCTTTTTAAACACACTTTCACGCAAATTACACCTCCGAAATGTGACAGAAACAAAACGCGATTACCTAAGTTAGATATGAACAATTGTGTCGTGGTGCTACCCAAAAAATAATAATTGTATCAAGCGCAAATTGCGTTTAAAAAAGCCATTAGGAAAAGGATGCAGACTGGGAATAATTCAACAAAATGGGGTCAACGGCACCGTCAACCCTCAGTCGACCATGGACCTGCTGACCTAAAACAGAAGAAAACTATAACCACATTGAATGGCATGTTATGTAACGGAGGCATCAAACTTAAATGTCATGCAACAAGGTGTTTATGGTTGATGCCATCCGGACTGGATGCCTTTCCGCATGGAGTTTATCTGTAATTGCGTACGGGCAGCAAGCTCTGCTGGACGGTGTCGTTTGTTTATTGAGATAATCAAAGCGGAAGGCATAGTTCTAAACACTCGACAGCTCATTCAAGGTAAATATCCAAGCGTTAAGTGTTTTTCCTTTTTTGTTGGGAACGTGCGGTTGAGGTGTTTTGGGCTACTTTGTTTTAAAATTGTGCTTAAAACAGGATCAAACAGTAAATGTAGTTACTATACCGAGAAAATGTTGGTTGATTACGTTTGCGAACCGCACTAGGCATAATCTGAGTATCAATGATATCGGCCGTTGTTTCCCAGCTACACTGCCCTTTCCGATGCACTGCGACAGTTTCCGGTGAGAAGCGATTTCCCTAGCGACTATGCGGGGTGCTGTCCAATCAGACGTGTCGTCCGTGCTGGGAGGGAGGCGCCTATCATTCTTTGTTCGAACAGCGCTGTTCGAACGTGCAACACATTTGGCAGCATGCCCGATGTGACATCGCCAATCCGAAACTTCTGGTTGGCGACGTCGTTAGGGTGCCTAAGAATCCTGGCGAAGCATGTAACATTTTGTCTGTTCGAACGAGAGGCCTGTTCGAACCTGGAGGTGACACGCCCTTATGTTTATTCATTTGCATAATGAATTATACACCTCTTGACTTTCTCCCCATCTGGCCCCACGTATCCTCCATCTGCCCAATTCTCTCTCAGTTATTTTTCTGGGACCAGGTTAATGTGCCCAATGGATGGCAGCAGATGTGAAATCAGGCAAAACCTTTCATCGGCGTTTTGCAACATCTGTTATATGTTCTGCACCACGTGTGTCTCAATCAACGGTCAGGATCGCATCACACCATTCACGTGCCCCTGCCATGCTCCTCCAAATTTTGAGTCGACTTAACAACACTACGACTGTATCTCTCACGCTCTCGCTCCGCAAATCTGCTCTTCAGCATTCCCTGCCGTTTCCTCCCAATCTTCCCTTCCATTCTCAAATTCCATTACTCTCATCTGCCCACCCATCCTCTTTTTTCCCCATCCCAACCCCCCTCCCCCCCCCAGCACCAATCCCCAGACCGCCTCCCCCTTCCCCTCCTCCCCCTCCGCCAACCCCCTCCCCCCCGCCTCCTCCCCCCATCGTTACCGTCTTCCTCGCCCCTCCTCCCCCTCCGCCCTCCTCCCTCCCACCGTCTGCGATTGCGGGAATAGTAGCGGGTGCAGTGGTGTTGCTGCTTCTGATGGTGGCGGCGGTGGGATGGGGGGTGTGGAAGTGGAGGAAGGGGAGGGAGCAAACGGGGGAGGAATCGAGTGAGTGGGGAGGGGAGAGGAAGGGGAGATTTTGAGTGCACATGGCATGAATACATGATTGCATGATGGCATGGTGGCTGAAGCTTTTAATGCAACGTGTCGGCATGTGGTGTGCATTGGTTGGGAACGGTGTGTGAGTGTGTGGGGTGTTGTCCTCTCTTCCTCATTCCCCTACCCTCTGCTCCTCTCGTCAACACCCCTTTATCAGCAAGTTTCAAGGAAAACACAGAAACAAAATAACAAAAATGCGGAGCAAGAAATAAAGCTTTTCTCTGCCCCTTTCTCACTCATCCTCCCTTACCTTCCCCCCTCCTGTTTTCCTTTTTCCCACCCTTTCCCCCATCCCCCTTCCAGCCACACCTCTGCTAAAGCGCACACCCGCCTGCCCTCACATCCCCCTGGCTGACATTCTCAGGGCCACGAATGGGTGGGCGGAGGAACGGAGGGTGGGGGGAGGCAGGTGGGGTGACGTGTACCGGGGGGTATGGGTGGAGGAGGAGGAAGCAGGGGATGAGGAGAAGCATGGGGGGAAGTATGGGGGGAAGGATGGGAAGCAGCAAGGGGGAGAGGTGCAGGGGGGGTCTCAGGTGAAGCGGGAGGGGAGCAGCAAGGGGGAAGTTGCAGAGGGGAAGCAGGTGTCTGGGTCAGGGACAAAAAAGCTTTCATGGAGGCGGGGGGAAAAGTGGGCAGTGAAGCGCATGAGGGGAGGGATGCATGGGGCAGAGAGCGCGGAGCTTGAGGCTCATGTGGCGGGCTTGGCTTCCCTTGTGCACCCCAACGTGCTTGGGCTTGTGGCCTGGTGCTGCTTCCCTGTAGCGGGGGAGGGGGCAGGGGAGGGGGAGCGGGAGGGGGAGGAGGAGGAGACGGTGGGGGGTGAGGGGGGGAATCAGCTGGTGTTGGTGTATAAGTGGATGGAGCGGGGCAGCCTGCAGGCAGCACTGCAGCCAGGTGCGCTCCATAGGGCTTGTGATGCCAATTAGCAACAAGTCAAACTCACCACTCGCCCTCACCACTCGCCCTCACCACTTGCCCTCACCACTCGCCCTCACCACTCCTCCTCACCATTCGTCCTCGCCACTCGACCCCACCAATCGTGCTGCACCCAACCCATCCCCTCCGCTTTTATGGGAGCGCGTTACGCTTGCCCCATCGCACCGACCTCGTGCCATGCCCCTCCATACTCATACTCCACTACCTTGCCCCTCCATCCCCACTGTAGAAGTATGTTGTTAGTCAGGAAGATGCTGAGATCAGAACACTCGGCCTCTAAGACTAGAGGTGAGGAACTACGTCTTGGGACATAACTGGTGCACAAAACCCACACTCCCCCAACCATCCCCACACCCACCGCCAGGCGCCACGCCCTTGTCGCTGCAGCAGCGGGTGGACGTGGCAGTGGGGGTGCTACTGGCGCTCAAGGCCGTGCAGAGCCACGGGCAGGTGCATGGCGACCTCAAGCCCTCCAACGTGCTTCTTAGCCCTTCCTTTGAGGTGCGTGCCTTATCGGAATTCTCAAAAGTGACTCATGGATAGGTACGTGTCTTTTGAGAGTTCTGAAGAATGAGTTAGATATAGTTGGGTGCATTTTTTAGACCTATACCTCAGAAGTGGCTTGGGTATAGGTGCGTGCCTTTTGAGAATTCTCAAAAGTGACTCAGATATCGCCGCTGCTTGATGAAATATATAAATGTGACTTAAATATAGGTGCGTTCCTTTTGAGAAGTGAATACGCCCTCACCTCATTTCACTCCCCCTCCTCCCCCTCCCTGCCTTACCTCCATGTATTCCCCGCCCTTCTCCCAGGCGCGAGTGGTTGACTGGAGTGTGGTGTGCATGGGGCAGCGCGTGCATGTGGACATGGGCAACAGTGGCTCAGAAGGGCAGCGGAAAGGCGTTGGCAAGAAAGGCTTGGCAAGGATAGTGTCCCTGCCAAGTGGAGACAGAGGCACCAGCAGCAGCAGTGGCAAGGATGGTGGCAACAGTGGGTATTCATGGGGGGCCGGTAGGAGTGGCAGCAGCAGCAGCAGCAGCAGCAGAGACGAGCAGAAGGTGTATTTGCTGCGGTGCACGGAAGGACACGTCGATCCGGCTGTTGTGCACACCGGCATTGCCACTCCCACCAGTGACATGTACAGGTGGGGCTTTAATCATGTGACATATACATCAGCATGTTGCCATCGCTCCACATCAGCATGTTGCCATCGCTCCACATCAGCATGTTGCCATCGTTTATATTGGTGTGCTGGCTGCCTGGCTCGCCTGCACAAACTACCACCTTCCCACTCCCTCTTTTCCACCCTGTCTCCTCCACCTCTCCACCTGCCGTCTCCCCTCCCTCTCCCCATCTCCGCCCCTTCTGACCCTCCCCATTCGATTCCGCTCTGCATTGGCCAGTGTGGGAGTGCTCCTACTCCAGATGCTCACAGGCTGGGAAGGTCCCTTCAGGGATGTGGATGGCCAGAGCACACACATCTATGACTGGGTGCGTGATGCTCTTGAAATCAGGGCATGGTATGGCAAGGCATGGCATGGCATTGTATGGCAGGGCTGGGCAGGGCAGGGCAGGGTAAGGCATGGCAGGTATGGCAAGGTGTGGCATTGGGATGGTATGGCCCACCTCCCCCACTTCCCACTCCCCCTTTCCCCCTCCCGGCCTCCCCCTCTTCCGACTCCCCCCTTCTCCCTGCCTACCTCCCCATCCTCTTCCCCTACCGTCCCCCCTACCGCCCTCCCCCCCTCCCCCACCCGCAGGCCCGGCAACACGCAGACTCGGACGACGTCTCTCCTCTCCTCGACCCTCTGCTGCCACACCCCCTGCCCCCTCCCGCCACCCTCCTCCCCCTCTTCCGCCTCGCCCTCGCCTGCTCGTCCCCCTCACAGTCCGCCCGCCCCATGCCCGTATATGCTCTTGAAGTTGTGAGGAACTTCCGCACCTCCCTGCTGGAGGCGTTGCGGCCTGGAAGGGGACTTGGGGGTGCACATGGGGAAAAGGGAAAGGGGGACGGGGGAGAAAAGGGTGAAAAGGGAGTGGGGGAAGAGGGAGGAAAGAGAGATAATGGGGGGAAGAATGAAGAGGGGGGGAAGGGGAAGAGTGGGGAGGAATGGAGTGGGGTGTCCATTGGAGAAAGTCCTGAGGGAGCGGCGGAACAGAGTAATGACTATACAAGGCTGCCATTAGTGGGTGCAGCAGAGGATGGTAGCGAGTCTATGGTGTAGACAGGGAGGTGTTATCTGTAAGGTTCTTGCCGTGTAGACCGGAGCAGGTGATATCTGTCGGTGTAGTTTAGGGAAGTTACCCGTAAGCCCCCGGATTGAAGCGCAAGCCTCGGATAAGCGCCGGCGCTTATAAAAGGATGAGGGCGCTTATATCCGGTCCTCCATAATAAGCACACCCCTGAAGGCTTACGGATTATAAGCGCCACCCTCTTCTTTTTTATTATAATTTTACTGAAATCGTTGTAACGAAACTCAACATTTTCATTCCCACATTTTGAATTTCGATGCCCCCTCACCCTCGCCCGGCTCACTGGCAACGCGTTGTCAGAATGAGGAATGGGTGTTCCATTGATGTTGGTTGGGGTACATATGACAAACCCTAACTTCTGTACCCCCTAAGACAAATCTCACTACAGGCTACAACATTTGACACACCCCCATAGCCTAAGTGAGGGGTGTCTAGCAAAAAACAAAAAAAAAAAAAGAGTACGGTCACAAGACCAGTCCAAAAGAAAACAAAGCTCAGGGTGGATCACAACGTCACCACACACTCTGAGCACAAGCAACAGTGGCCACAAGGCCAGTCCAAGAGATCACAAGTATATATAGTAAGTGTACAGACGAAGCAGGCAATAAACTCAAGTCTACGCATGACTAGAACCTGTGTCAACAAGGCCTAACTGCACACAACACCTCTGGTGGTCACAAGGCGGAAGCGCCTTGGTGAAGATGTCTGCAGTGTTGGCCTCGGACTCTACAAACTCGAAGCGAGCCTGTCCACGCCTCTGCAACTCTCGCAGAAGAAAGTACCTGACGTGAATGTGCTTCACTCTGCTCTCCAGTCGCGGCTCACGACAGAGGAGGATCGACGCCTTGTTGTCAGTAAACAAGGTCGGTGCAGAGCTCGGCCGCTCACCAAGGTCGGCGAGCAAGAAGGTCAACCACCGTAACTCCTGTGCCGCCATGGCACCAGCGTAAATCTCAGCCTCAGCTGTAGAGGTCGAGACAGAAGAGGAGCGCGTGGAACGCCAGGAAACAGCTCCAGAACCCAGACTGAAACAGTACCCCTGAGTAGACCTGTGAGTCTCAGCGTCGTCAGCGTAAGAGGAGTCACAGTGACCAGTGAGTACGACAGACTGCTGCCCTCCAAGAACTAGCCCCACGCCTGATGTAGTCGCTAGGTACTTCGCCACCCTCACAGCTGCCGTCCAGTGAACAGGACGGTGTCTCCCTGGCGCAACAAAGCGCGCAAGGATGCTGAGAGGGAAGGCGAGGTCCGGGCGAGTACAAGTCATCAGGTACATGAGGCAACCCACAAGCTCTGCGTAGGGACCACTAGGCTCAAACGGCTCGTCAGGAAAGGGACCAGTGAGTCTGTGGTCAACAGCTAGAGGTGTGCGCTGTACGGTGGAGTGCTGAAGCCCGAACCGCTGAAGGACCTGCTGCACCATGTGTGACTGTGAGAGTGTAATGGTGCGAGCGGCTCTGTCCCTGGTGATCTGCAGGCCAAGGTAGTGGCGCAGCTCACCAAGATCAGTGCACGTGTGTCTCTTCTGCAGTTCGGACTTCACGTCTGCCAAAGCAACCCTGTCCGAAGTGGCGAAAACGAGGTCGTCGACGTAGACCAGAACAAAGAACGGTGTGGAGCCACGACGAACGAACAGCGACGGGTCGGCAGAAGACGGCTGGAACCCAAGGTCAGAGAGGGTAGAACGCAGAGTGTCGTGCCACTCACGAGGGGCCTGGCGAAGACCGTAAACAGGTCGCCTCAGCCTCCACTGGGTCCCAAGAGGGAAAGTGCCAGTGAAGGCCGAGGGACGACGCAACCAGACCTCCTCGTGTAGACTGCCCTGAAGGAAAGCAGTGGAGAAGTCAAGAGAGTGTAACTCGTAGTCTCTCTGTGCTGCTACGTGTAGTAACACCCGAAGAGTGGTCATCTTCGGGGTAGGTGCGAAGGTCTGAAAGAAGTCAACTCCCTCGCGCTGACTGAAACCTCTAGCCACGTAGCGCGCCTTGAAGACCGGGGGAGATCCCGGTGGCCGCTTCACCCTGTAGATCCACATGCCGTCGACTACGTTCGCCCCAGGGGGGGGAACCTCATCGACGTAGGTGCCTGTGGATCTGTAGGAGGCCATCTCTGCGTCCATGGCAGCTCTCCACTGAGAGGCCCAAGGCCCTGACACTGCCTCAGCGTAAGTGCGAGGAGTCGGAATGTCAAGGGCGTCGGGGTCACCCTCAGGGGCGAGGAGCATGGCACAGAGATGAGGGGAAGCGGCCGCCAGGAACTCTAGCTCAAACTGCCTGTCCTCTAGGGCGTCACAGCCAAGGGCAGACACACCCCCGACGACCAGAGGACTGGTAGGAGGAGCAGTCACAAGCGTGGTGGCGTAGTCAAGGCGGCGGGTAGAGGCAAAGTCAGTAACCGCGGCAGTAAGAGCGGACACAGAGGACACAGAGACACGAGGGTGAGTAACAAGAGAGGCGAGAACACGAGAGAGAACAGGACGGTACATGCGGTAGTAGTCAGTGACAGGAGTAGGGAGCGACACAGTGAGGGCCGACTCAGGAGGAGACGGAAGCACAGACTGAGATGGACGAGGTGGACTAGAAAGAAGGAAGGCAGTACGAAGGTCAGTGAAGGGAACAGGAGACGAGGGACGAGCACGAGGGGAGCGACGAGTAGCCCAAGAACGAGACGGAGGAGAAGAGGACAAGGGCGGAGAACTGGGGAAAACAGCGGGGGAGGAGTCAGGAGGAGGAAACGTGGGACCGTAGACAGGAGGAGAGGCGGAGGAGGGAGGAGAAGGGGAGGGGAGACCAAGGATCCGAAGACCCGAGACAGGAGGAGGAAGTGGCTGCTGCTGCTGCGGCTGCGACTGCTGCTGCTGCGGACGCGGCTGCTGCTGGGACTGCTGCTCCTGCGGGTCCAGCTGCTGCTACTGCTGCTACTGCTCCTGCGGCTCCAGCTGCTGCTGCTGCTCCTCCAGCCGCTGTAACTCCCTCTCCTCTCTCTCCAACGCCAGCTGCTCGTCACGGGCACGGCGAACACGAGCCTGGTGCCTAGTCGGGTAGGGGTGGGGGGGTGGAGTAGTGTCCGAAGCAGCGGCAGCTCCAGAGTCCACCTCAGAAGAACTAGGCGCACCACCCCCAGAGGCAGCACTAACACCAGCTCCAGAACCAGGCTCACCTGAACCCGAAGGAGGCGCACCCTCACCCCCAGACGCAGCACCCCCAGTGTCCGCGCGGCCAGCACCAGCTCCCGGACGACAAGAGTCCTCTGCACCCACCGGGTCAGCTCCAACTCCAGAACCAGAAACTCCAGCTCCAACCCCAGCTCCAACTCCAGCACCCCCAGAACCAGAAACTCCAGTGCCAACTCCAGCTCCAACTCCAGCTCCAACTCCAGCACCAACTCCAGCACCCCCAGAACCAGAAACCGGTACAGGAACAGGCGCCGCACCAACCTCTCGAGAGCTAGCACCAGCGGCACGCTGCGAGGAGGACTGTGGGGAGGGAGGCTGTACCGGAGGGGCTACCGAAGGAGGAGGGGTAGCCTGGGACACACCTGACGGGGCTGGACCAGGGGGGGGAGGCTGTACCGGGGGAGCAGGAGGGGGAACGGCAGTCAGGAAGAGGGGGGGAGGAGGAACCGGGAGACCTCGACTGGGGTACCTGACGTAGTACGGAGTGGACTCCTCGAAACGGACGTCACGGGAGTCAAAGAACCGGTGAGAGGGAGGGTGGTAAAAGGTGAAGTCAGAGGAGTCCTCAGGGAAACCAAGGAAGACACAGGGGACGGCACGAGGCGAGAGCTTGTCCGCGGAGGTGTCGCGGACAAGAGCCAAGCACCCCCAGACACGAAACCGCGACGCAACACCAGGGGACCCTGTCCAAAGACTGGTCGGTGAAACCTCTGGTCGAGAGACACGTGGCCAGAGGTTCAGCTGGTGCGCGGCGTACCTGACCGCGTAGGGCCACAGAAAATGGGGGGCACAGGCGTGAGTCAGGGAGGTGCGGGCGATCTCCATGACCAGGCCTATGCGGCGCTCAGCAACCCCATTCTGCTGTGGGGACTCTGGAAGCGTCCAGGACTGACGAATGCCCTGCTCGCGACAGAATCCAGCGAGAATGCCGGAGCGAAACTCACCCCCACGGTCGGAGTGGAGACAGCTGACACGACGACCACGAGTGTCCTCAGTGGTGAGCAACCACCTGATCAGCGTAGAAGTCACCTCAGACTTCTTCGCCAGAGGGAACACTGTGGTGTAGCGGGAGAAGTCGTCAACGACCACCAGAAAGTAACGCTCACGCTTAGGGCCTAGACGAGGGGCTGGGCCCCAGACGTCCAAGTGAAGCGTCTCAAAAGGCTCGGTGGCCGGACGAAGGGAGGAGGAGTGAGGGGTGGCGCGCAGCCTACCCTCGACGCAGGGACGACACGGCGGCGCAGGCGAAGGCGGCAGCGACGGCAAGACACGTGGGAGGCCTAGGACAAGACGCTGACTAGACATAGCGCGCAGACGTGGAAGGGACGGGTGCCCCATCCGGTGGTGCCACAGAACGGTGGGGTGGGCAAGCGACCGGCAGGAGCACGACGCAGCGACTGGAACAGACGTAGGAACCTGACACGACACAGACACCTGGGGGGACGTAGCAACCTGGTGAGACGCGGGGACCCGAACGGGGGGGGGAACCGGGGGCAGTGGCAGTAGGGGGGGCTGCTGGTGCGGCCGCTGGTGCTGCTGCTGCTGCTGCTGCTGCTGCTGCTGCTGCTGCGGCTGCGGCTGCTGCTGCTGCTGCTGCGGCTGCTGCTGCGGCGCACGCGGGCCAGTGTGAAGAGTGTAGAGACCCGAGCCCGGCTCAGCAGTAAAGGTAGCAAGAGGCTGGTAAGAGTCTCCGTCAACACACACCGCAGTCTCTCCAGAAGGCTCAAACCACACACCCACGTGCTGACTCACGAGGGGTCGCACGCCCACCAAGTTCCGGGAGAACGAGGGGACGTG